GGTTTCTTCTGGCTTCATCAGCACAGGTTCCTACCAAGCAAGGCCTCTGTCTTCCACTCCTGGTTTTTCTCTGTAAGGTGTCTTAAATATTTAAGAGCAAAGTTAACCCAGCAAAAATGTGGAGAAAGAGTAGGTATGAATTATGCATGGTTTCCTATAATTTTAAAACATTAATAGGAATAAACAAACATGTAGAGTGGTTTATATAAGGCAACTACGTGTCATTCCAGAAAAGAGGACATCGCTAATCAAGCCTCATGGGTGGTATGAAGCTTTCTGACTCACAACCAGCCCCAGCAGCATCACGCAGCTAAGCCTTCCCGGCTCTGGCTAACGTCAAAAGCTGCCGCAGTTGCTGTGTACCGACTCTACCCTCATAAAGGGCAAATCTACTCAATAGAACAGGGGACAAATTATGTTCAGTCTTTGCATAAGCCAAACATAGACTGTTCTTTAGAGGTGAAAATGAAAGCCTTGGATGAGCTGGACTTCTAAGGCATCTGGCCAGCTCTTTATCCACCCCACCTCCCACCCCCCAAGAAATCACTGTTCATCAGTTGCAAAGGAATTCGCTCCTGGGTAACTACAACTTGCTGGAAATACAAAGGAGAGAATGGCCACTCGCTACCTAATTGTTCTGATTCTTCTAAGAAGTACAAGAGCTTGCAATTGATCTGCAAAGAGCAAAAAATCAGGAGCCTGTGCCGAACCTGAAGCAGAATAAATGGATGCCTCTACTTCAATGGTAACTCAAAACATTTCCAATTTCCTCTGAAAGGATGTTTCTACCTCTCTCACAGAACCCGAGTATAATCTGTCAAATTCTTACGGTGAGCTTCAGCTGGGAGGGCAAGACAGGAAGTAAACACTGACTCACTTCTTCCCGGGGTGCGGGAGGGTCTCGGGACCTCCCTGAGTCTGACCCTTCCCACACCTGGCACTGCCACCCTGCCAGGCTCCATCGCTCCCCACACAGCGCCCCCATATTCACACTCCCAGAATCCAGGCACTGGGGAGTTTCACTAAGAAGGAAAATGGAAGCTTGGACAAAGCCTCTTCGGGTCAGATGGTAAGCAGGTACCCTGTGAGGGATTCCAGGGCCTACATGCAGCTATATTGTACTCTGAGCCACATCTGCCACCCCCTTCCCCACCAAATGAGACCAATGCCACTGAGTGGCTCCCAAATGCAAGTCTGGCAGATTCAAGAATCATCAGGGAAGCTTTTCTGAGTTACAGATTTCTGGGCCCCACTCTGAGCAATTCAGCTTTAACAGGGGGTGGGGATGAGGGCTTGAGGGGCACAGCTGGCAATCTGTGTTCTTAAAAGGCTTCCCTGGAGACTGCCCCGCCTGGGATCATGCTGGTAACCTCCAAGACCCGGAGAGCTAGAAGGGCCCTGCTCCTGGAGGGAGGGGGTCTTCCTCTGGCCCTAGGGGGTTTGTGAAGGAGCAATACAGTGACACATTCCCAAGTAGCTGGCCACTGTTTATTCAGTGAGGAGAGCCCAGAGGAGGGGCTGCAAGGAAACTGGGCATCTCCGGACTCCAGAGTGAAAGCCAACCTCTCTGCCAGGGAAGGGGCCTGGACTGGTATGAACTTGCCAGAAGATTAGTGAGAAGCCCATGTGTGCAGAAAATCGATATCCAGGAAGACTGCAAATGGGGAGGTTTACTTAGAGTGGAGCTGGATGAAGCCCAACATCTTTGCCTCCAGTCGTCCTGCCTCTGCACTGAAGGACAAGACACTTGCTTTCACTTCTCCTCTCTGTAAAAATGGGGATAAAGAGTCACCACCTCAGAGGAATGTGGGAGGATCAACTGTGAGAACACAGAGTGAGTAGAAGACTAAATGAAAGCCATTCCTTTACCAACGTGGTTCAACAGTAAACACTCGGAAGCTATCTTCCTCCAAAGAGGGCTTTCTCTGTTTTTTCTGCTCCATGTATAGCCCTTTATTGATTGACAGCATCTCTTCTGGAAGATAAAGATGCTTGTAGGGTCCTCTTAGCTCAGCTCCTCCAAACAGCCCTTTGTTTTGTGCCAGGGCTCTTTTCTCGGTGTGCATTAAGAAACCAATTTCTCGCCCTGGCCGGTCTGGCTTAGCGGTTGGAATGTTGGCCTGCGGACCAGAGAGTCCCAGGTTCAGTTCCCGCTGGGGGAACGTACCATTAAAAAAAAAAAAAAAAAAGGAAACCAATTTCTCATATAAAGTAATACTGAAGGATTTTCCATTTATTTGGCCTGGAGTAGGGTGTAATTCATATAAGTGAGACTGAATTAGTCACCCAGATGTTCTGTGTATATCAAAGCACAGGTTTGAAAGCAGCGAAGCCCAAGGAGCTAATGAACTGAATGTTAGTTTTCGCCTCATGGGTTGGTGCGATGCTGACAAATCTCAAGTAATTAATTTGGTAATGAGAACTCTTTTCTTGAGTTGATCACAACAACCAGGCATCACCATCCAAATAATCACAGCACAGAAACCAGCCACCCAATACTTGGTGGTGGGGAGGACACCAAAATAATCCAGTACTCCAGCCCACACACTTCAAGACGCTTCTACCTTCTTCTGAATAGATATACTATACTGCCTCTTAGGACTTTCTGGTGTTCTCTCTGCTATTAGTACTAGCTGAGTGACCTTTGCAAACACACTTCAACTCTCTGGGTTTTTTTCTCAATATAATAAAGAGGCTGAGCTAAAAGATCTCTAAAGACTTTTCAACTTTAAATTCTGATTTGAATTTTCAAGTCAACTTTATCAGTGTCAGACTTCTGATTTAGTAGCTCTTACTTTCTATTTGTTGAGAATGAAGTAATTCAATCTGCTTTTTTCCACCTGTAAAAAGCTTTATGAAACCACAGCCTAACCCATCCACCAGACGGGTACACAAAGATCTCAACTTGCTAGGTGAGTTTCACGTAGAAAACAAAGTGCTGGCAATCTGGGTCTTAACACTGCACTCCCTGTGGATATGTTCAAACTTGACCTTCACTCCCAACAAAGGCTGCCAGGAGATTCTGACTGTCCTGTGTCTATAGGAAGGAAGCCTCAAAATGATTGTTTTTTTTAACCACACTAAAGATCTACATCCAGACTGCAGTAATAGGGGTGGTTTGAAATGAGCATTAGTTTCACCCAATAATGGGCTGAACAGACACACACGTATAATTATGCCTCATACTAATTACAGCCACTTGTACTAATTTTCCAAAATAAAAATACAATTAATTCTTACAAATGTAAGTTGCTGAATGTACAACGTCTCATAAATGGGCACTAGAGTTTTCTCAATATCTTAAAAAAAAAAGTTCATAAAATGAAGGGGAAAAATATAAATTTTTCTTCTAAAATAATTTCCCCCCCCAATCCTCAACCGAGGATATTTTTCCATTTATCTTCAGATAGAGGGTGGGCAGGAAAGAGAGAGGAAAAAAACATCAATGCGAGAGAGAGACACATCCACCGGTTGTCTCCCAGGCGACCCCAACCAGGATGACCCCCACCAGGCCGGGGACTGAACCTCAACTGCGATAGGTGCCCTTGACCAGAATCGAACCCGAGACTCTGTGGTCTGAGGGCTGATGTTCCAACTGCTGAGCCAAACCAGACAGGGCATAAAATAATAATTTTTAAAGCATTTTTAATTTTGTGAATTTTTATATCTTCAAAATAACTTTCCAGTTTTTTATGGCTTTTATTTTCATTTTGTCCAGACAGCATTAATAGTTACCTTTTAAGTATATTTCCTTTTTTTTTAATACTCACTGGAGGATATTTTTAATTGATTTTTTAAAGAGATACATCCATCAGTTGCCTCCCCAATGCAACATGACCAGGAATTGAAGGGGCAACCTAGGTATGTGCCCAGACCAGGAAATCTAACCCACAATCTTTTGGTGTACCCCACAATGATCCAATGAATTCAGTCACCCGGCCAGGGCTAAATATATTTCCTTTTGAAAAAGCTCAAATTCATAGACATTGCACAATTTTTATACAATTAGTTATCATTTTTAAAATTAGCAGGCTCATTTCAGATTTTTATTTCAAATTGTCATGCTTGTAAGGGTTATGTATATATCCTTGTATATATGTAAATGAAGCATAGTACTGTTGTATACACAAAAGTACTCCTACTCAGTTATTTGTGTCTTAAAAACAAGGCCTAGATGGTTTAATACCATAACAAGGGAGGGAATGTTTGCCATTAAAAAAAATGTCTTTCTCGCCAGTGTGAGGCAATGTCGTAAGGCGATGGCCAGCTGTAAGCTAGTCTCGCACCTTTAGTTGAGAAATTGTCTGGGAGAAGAGAAGCTTGTTTTTAACAAGTCATACTAGAATAGGTTCCCACGGAAAACAGTTTCCAACAATACGATTTTAATTCCAAAAATAAAGAGGAAAGAAAAAGAGGAATGTGTTTCCATCAGTCTCCTGAGTCACTCTGGGCCTGAGACCTGAGGGTCAAGTCCAGGCGCCCCTCAATCAACTCCTGAGACCACCACCCAGGCTTGCGAAGGGCCTCCTGGGCTGGCCGAGTGGCTCAGAGGAGTGGAACCAGCATCTGCCCCCGGGAAGCCGGGCGACCGGGCCTGGCCTGGGCCTCGGGTGCTAACCAGGCCGGCCTTCCCTCGCACAGCCCGGGCCAGCTCCGGCCACCTGGCCCTCGGGCCCTCGGATCGAGCCGGTGGACGGGACCTGACGCCACCGCGCGGGTCGCACTTCCCGGGCCGACCCCCAGAAGCCCCCCGCGGCCCAGGGAAGACAGTCCCCTCCGGTGCCTCCCCCTCACCCCCAAGCGGCCAACGGCGGGCCCAGGGAGCGGGCTCGTAGGGGCGCAGCAGGCAGACCCCCGGAGCTCCACGCGGCCCCGGTGGCCTTCACCGACCTCTGGGGCGGGGCGGGGCGGGGCGGGCTGCTGCCGGGGGCACCGGCGTCTCGCGTGCCCGCAGCCCGGCCCAGGCCAGCCGCTCGCCGTCAGGTGGGGGCCCGGCTCACCTTGGGGCCCTCGGGGGGCACGCGCGGGTCGTTCCATGTCGTGGTGCGGCTGTTGTGATCCACGAAGAAGGGCCAGCCGGTCTGCGGGTCGATCTTGATCTCCCAGCCTGGGGGCAGGGGGTCGCGGTCGCCGGCGCTGTTGCCGGACGCCGTCTGCACCATGGGCGAGTGGGTGGCAGCGCTCATGCTGCGGGAGGTCGGCCCGTAGGGGAGGCCGCCGGGCGCGGGGCGCGGGGTGCCGGGGCGCGGGGTGCCGGGCCTCCAGGCGCTGAGTCGCTCGCGGGCCGCGGCCGGAGCAAGAGCCCTGCGCGCCGCCGACGTGTCCGGGAAGACGGCGCCGGGCACCTTTATGAATTAAAGGAGGGGGTGACGTGGCCGAGAGGGGTGGAAGTGTCTGGAAATAGCCTCCTCGCTGCCAAAGGGGAAGGAGAAGATAAAGGGAGGTAGCAACTGGCCGGCTAGAAACTTCTGGTCCTATCCAGAGAAGTTGGCGGCGGCGCGGGTTGGAAGCGGAGCTCCGCCCTGAGTCATCGGCTATAATCGTGGCCCGGCCGGGCGGGCGGGGCGGGGCCTCGGGCCGCCGCCCCTCCCCCCTCCCCCCTGCCCCCCCCCCTCCCGCCCCGGCTGCCCCGGCTGCCCCTGCTGCCGGGGGCGGGGAGCACCCGCGGGGCCCGCCCGCGGCCGGCCGTCGGTATGCCCCCGGCCGGTTTCGATTTTCAGATTCGCTCCTTTCTTGGAGCCGCGCGGGTATTCCCGGGACTGGAGTCCGCGCGCGGGGCTTCTGCTACGGCTCCTTCGTATAAAAACAAAGTCATCGTGTCAAGTCGCTGGTTTGAAACTCGAGTTTCGCCCTCTCCCTACCCCTTTGGCTCCCTAGTATACTGACCCTCCGGACACTGGCGTCTCTCAGTTACGTTTTAATCACTGTTTTTTCCTGTGGGCTGCGGAAGGTTGATCTGACACCAGGGAGAAAATGGAAGTGAGAGTGGAAATTCACCTAAGCTCCCGCTGGAAACCTAGAAAGAATGCAAGATTGCATCAGCGCGTGGTTTGATGCTCCTGAACCCTGTGTCTCGAATGTAGACACCAGCTTTGCAGCAAGCAACTGTAAGAAAAAACACAGTCTTTGGGAGTTCGGTCCTTTTTATGTAGAGGCTGGTTCTTGCCATCTTAAATCTTGGCCTCCATTTGGTAAATAAAGACCAAATTGAAATGAAAAAAATTTTGTTTGGTTGAGTCAGTGGTGGTTACCCATGTAACCTTAAGCAAGCACCCAGTTCCTCTGGGGGAAAGAGGAAGTGCCCCCAGAGAGAGAATGGGAGATTCCATTTTAGATCCTTAGACATGCCCTTCCCCAAAAAACATTTAGAAAAATTGCCTTGGACTGATATTGGGCCGAATTTTCCAACTCAAATTCAGAGACTACCCTGGAATCCTCAGAGACAACACCTCTTGTCTCTTGCAGCCCTCAAATACTCCTTTTGGGAAAAATGCTAGAGAAGCCTACTGATCATTTCCAGTGTCATGATTCCCACTTACATGGGTCTACTCATAAACTCCGAAGTCCAAAAACTCAGTTTTGCAAAAACACAGACATGATTAAGCCCCAGGGATTGACTCGGGTCACCAAACATACAAGAGATTGATGTATAAACTCAAATGCCGTATACTAATTTACCATAAGAAGTATTACTATTGAAGGAGGTGAACTCTCAAGTTCACTGGTCGGTATGTATCTTATTCTTCCTTATATCTAAAGCCCTGAGCACAGGCCTGGGCCCAGAGTCCATAGTCAATAAATATTGATGTTTACCAAAGATTGAATTCAAAGTGAATTTTTATTCCTATCTTCTTCCTTTGCTTAATTTGTTTTCCACTACAACTGCAGTTTAAACACTGATAGCAGCCAGGTGGGTGTGGCTCAGTTGACTGAGTGTCCTCCCATGGACTGAGAGGTCCCTGTTGGATTCTCTGTCAGGGCACATGCCTAGATGGTGAGCTGGATCCCCAGTAGGGGGTGAGCAGGAGGCAGCCAATCAATGGTGTTTCTATCACATTGGTGTTTCTATGTCTCTCTCTCTCCCTTCCTCTCTCTCTAAAATGTCAATAAAAACATATATTTTTAAAAAAATTAACACAGAGCATTATTTGCTGGGCTTCCCCCTAACCCCCAGATAAAAGCAGGGAGGAAGCAGGTTACTCCGGGATTAACATAGCTGCTTCTGAAAGTCGTACTCTCCCAGAAGCTTCAAATTGGTTTGTCTAACATGTAACCACAAACCTTGGAGAGCTGGCTGGAAGAAGCTCTGTTGTGCCATGCTGAATAAGGAAGATAGATGTCTGTCCTTGATAGATATTTTTTCTCTCTAGTTCTTAGGACTTTCGTTCCCAGGTGCTATAGCTGCATGTTTGTGTCCCTTCAAAATTCACGTTGAAACCTATTCCCCAATGTGATGCTATTCGGACGAAGGGCCTTTAGGAGGTGATTAGGTCATAAGGGCAGATCCTTCATGAATGGGAGTACTTTATAAAAAAGACCTGAGAGCCCCCTCACCCCTCTACCATGTGAAGACAGAACAAGAAGACAGCCATCTATGAACTGGGATATGGCAACCCCAGCAGACCTGAATCCTCTGGTGCCTTGATCTTGGATTTCCCAGCCTTCAGAACTGTGAGAAATACATTTCTGTTGTTTCTAACCCACCCAGTTCATGGTATTCTGTTATAGCAGCCCAATTGGACTAAGATACCACATCTGGAGTTCATTGTTCCAGATCAGAAGCTTAAACATGACCCTGGATTTTCCTTTCCCTCTCACCATCTAATCATCACATTTGTAGATTCCACTTCCTCAGTATTCCTCAACACTGTGCTCTCTCCTCCTTCAGTGCCACCAGCCTTGTCCAAGTCACCCTTATCTTTCAACTGGACCTGGCAACAGCCTCTAATCTGGTTCAGGTCCAGTCCATTGCCAACATGGCAACTGAGTGACATTTTCAAATACAAACAGGCCTTGTCCTTTCTCTGGTTAGAATGCTTTAAGGGTTCCCATTGCCCTGCCTATATTGAAGTCCGCACTCCTTGGCTTGGTGTACACAAGAGCCTTCCTCCCCTCTGCCTGGTGAACACCCTGTGCTGGCCCTGCTGAACTGTATCATGCACGCACTGTGCCCTCTTGTCTGCATACACTGCTTCCTGCACCTTCTCCTCCACCTCCCATGCCTTCCACTGCCTTTGCCTGGCTGACTCCTCTTCTTCTCCAGGAATCACCTTCGGCGTCACTCTCCTTCACCTTCTTAGTCTGGGTCTTGTATCCCTTCTAGGTATCCCGATACAAATCCTGGCCACCCTATTAAGTGCACTGCCTTGCAATTGCTTGTTTGATGGTCTGATTAGCTTATGGATTGAGGTTCTCGAGGACAGGAGAAGAATCTTGATCGCCACTGTGTCCCTAGCCTCTGGTACAGTGCCTGGTAAATAAGTTATAACAATTGGCCCTGGCCGGTTGGGCTCAGCGGTTAGAGCGTCAACCTGCGATCCTGAGAGACCCGGGTTTGGTTCCCGCTAAGGGCGTGTACCTCGGTTGCAGTTTGTCCCTGGCCCTGGTCGGTCGTGCGGGTGGCAGCCACTCGATGTGTTCCTTTCACGTCGATGTTTCTCTCTCTCTCTGTTCCTCTCTCTCCCTCTCACTCTACCTGAACAAAAAAATGGGAAAATGTCCTCGGGTGAGGATAAAAATAAATAAAATAAAATAAGTTATAACAATTGTAATGGCTACCATTTAGTAAGCATTTACTGCTTATCAGGTACTGTGTCATGGGCTTTATGTGTCTCATCTCATTTAATCTTTGTAGTGGAGACTATGATCCCCTTTCAGCAATGAAGGACTTATTCTCCCAGATGCTGGAAACACTGCAGGAAGACAGATCTCAGCTGTCGGTTGGGAATTGGCTCATCTGAAGAAAACCGCCTTGACAAAGGTCTCACCTTCCAGGGGAACTGCATCCAGTGTCTGACCTATGGAGGGGCATAATGGCCCTGCCCTTTTGGTCCAACTGAGAATAGGGCTCCTGTGCTCTCCCAGCTCCAGAGCGCCCCCTTGGGTTGGCTGCTGCTTTCTTTGGAACTACAACACAGGTCAACCACCCCCTCCGCCCATTCCTGCCTCCTCCTGCTCTCCCTGTACTGGCGATGCTGTTAAGAGAATTCCCTCAGGAAGTCCTCCAAACTTGAGACAATATATTCCTGTTGTTTTAAGACACCCGAGGAAACAAAGCAAATAGAGCAGCCTGACTATCGATCTTTATTGCCCAAGGCAAATGTCACTTCTATAACCCAAGAATCACCCTTCGGAGCATGACTGACAGATTCTTTTTCTTGGTGCCCTGACCGGGAGTTGAACCTGAGCCCTTTCCGTGTACAGGACGATGTTCAAACCAACTGAGCCGCCCGGCCAGGGCCTGGTGGAGTCTTCTATTTGTCCCTCATCAAGCGCGGCAGCTCAGAGAAAAGCCTTTTTTGATTCTGCATCTCCCCACCAGGCAAAAAGCAATTTTCTTTCTGTTTAAGGAAATATCTCCCCTGCAAAGTGCTAAACCTTCAACTCACTTGAAGCTAAACTCTTTTTTTTTTCTCCTAATTTTTTTCTTTATTAATTTGAGAGAGAGAGGGAGAGGAAGAGAGAAATAGAAACATTGATGAGAGAACATGGATTAGATGCCTCCTACATGCCCCCCCACAGACACTGGGGATTTGGCCCACAACCTGGGCATGTGCCCTGACCTGGAATCAAACCGACGACCTCTTAGTGCATGGGTCGACGCTCAACCACTGAGCCATACCAGCCGGGCAAAGCGAAACTCTTAAATATGTATTTAAATGATGTTTTATCCTTCGCCTATCTTCCAGACCTTCAGGTCAGATTTCAGTCACTCTAACTAAACATCAACCAATTGATAGCTTATCAAGCCCAAAATCAATAAATAGTGATAGAGCCCCGGCTGGTTTGGCTCAGCGGTTGGAGCGTCGGCCTGCGGACTAGAGAGTCCCGGGTTCGGTTCCCGTAGGGGCATGTACCAAAAAAAAAAAGTTCCCCGAATCTATAAAATCAACCCAGCCTGGTGAATCGGGAAAGGCTTCAGGGAGGATTGGACGTTTGTGTTGAAAGAAGTTTTAATTGGTAATACAGGTGCATAATACAGAATTCAAAAGACACCAAAGG